TGGCCGGGGGCCCCCCGCAGCATCCCCCGCGCCCAGCCGTCACTGGCACAGCTCTGGGACTCGCACACGCGTGCATCTGGAATGACTCAGACTAGTTAGGGCGAGGGCACAGGTCAGTGGTACCCTGGGCGAGGAGGCGCCCTGCCTGCCTCAGCGGGGGGTACATCCAGAGGGCAAGAGCTACTCAGCCGGGCATAGGCCCGTGGGCTCAGGTCTGCGGTGGGCAGCGTCTTGGCACTGGCTGCTGGGAGGTTCTGCATTCCATCACAGGACGCACCCATTCTGTTCTTGGAGCCTGGGTGCTAAAGCTGAGGGTCCCATAGGGGAGGCACCCTGCCGGGCTTGGGTGGCCGGGCACGAAGGATGGCCGGTGGCCAGTGAGTGGCAGAGACGGGCCTGATGGTGACTGTAACCCACAGTGCTCTGAGAGCCCGACCTGTGTGGGAAGGTCACAGGCCCATGTCCAGAGACCTCCCTGGGGGTGAGTGATGTCAGGGCCGTCTCCACTTGCTGTGACAGTCCAGTGCTACTTTCCCTGGGTCTGAGCCTGCTGAGTGGCCTGGCCGAGGAAGAGCCTCACTCTTGCTGCATCAAATGCTGCTCTGGGCCCCCAGCTGTCCGACGGTCTTTTGTCAAGTCTTATAGCTGCCCCCCGCCCCCCCAGGTCAGGCCACCGGCCTGCAGTGCAGTCAGCCTCCTCCAGGCGCTCAGGTTTCCCGATGGGCTGGAGTCCGGTCGGGAATGGCGGCGCCCCCTTCCACCCGGTGCCCCTGCACCTGTCTCCGAGTCTGGGGTGGGAAGGGGTCCTGTTGCGTCACCAGCTGCAGAAGACAGCCCCAGCCTCCACCACCAACTGGGGACGTGGGTGGTGGCCGAGAGCTGCTGCCCTGGGGACTGCCCAGCGCTTAGAGCCAGTACCACGTGGACAGGGACGGGATGCGGTCCTCCTAGTGGCGGATCCCGGGACCAACAGCTCGCCTAGCGCTTCTCCTGTGCCCGCTCCCCCTCGCCGGCCCTCTGCGCCGAGCCGCCATCGTGGGAGGGACTGCGGCCTGCCTCCAGACTCACGAGGGGAGAGCGTCACGCCACCCACCGGGCCACCTCGGTTCGAGGAGGCCGGCGGAGCGCGGACCCGCCCTCCGTGCGGCACCCCTCCCGGCGAGGGCGCTTTCCCTTTAAATGCAGATCAGCGCCGCCGGCTTAGCTCCCGCGTCGCGCTCCCGGCGCAGGCGGAGGGGAAGGAGCCCGCTCGGTCGCGCCTCGGGACCCGCACCTCCAGGTGGGTCGCGGGGAGGCCGCGCGGGCGCGGGCGCGGGTGGGATGACGCGGTGTGACGCTCGGGGTCGGAGCCGGCTCCCGAGCGCAGCGGCCCACTGGCACGTGGCTTTGAAGACGGCGAGGGGGAGGGAGCCCGGGGCTCGGCGCCCCAGCCTCGGGGCGCGCTTCAAGTGCCATACCCCACTCCCGCCCCATCCCGGGTGCAGAGGGGCTGGGGCAGGCGGGGAGCCCGGGCGGCGGGCCGTGCCAGCCCTGGGCAGCCTTGGTGGGGCCCGCGCTGCAGGACCACGCCCACCCCGGGCAGCTGAGGCCCGGGGGGGACTTCCTGCCCAGGACGCGGGAGGCGCCGGGAGGCAGCAGGGCCTGGGGAGCCTCTGGGAGCCCTCGTGTGCGGGCGGGAGAGAGGAGGATCGCAGCGGACCAGTGGCCTGCCCCAGGCCTGCGCCTCTGCAGCTGGGCCAAGCACCATGGCCACCTCCCTTGTTGGCAGCATTTGTCGACATCTGCCAAGGCAGTCAGCAGTAGAATGGGGCCTGGCAGAGAACCCCTCACCAGCTGGGCCCTGCCAGCTCACTTCCACCCTGGCCCTCTCAGCCGCAGGGACGGGAAACCCCAGCAACCCCAGGATAGGCACGTCGGGCCTGGCCCTTTCAGACCTGCAGAGGCTTTCAGGCAGAAGGGGACTGGGGGCCTGGGAAGGTCCTAAGGCAGGGCCATGATCCCAGGATCCCTGCCCCTGCCACACACATCATGGAGAGACCTTGACAGGTGATAGGCCTACCTAAAAGGTCCCAGCACCGGTCCTGCAGCTCCCAGGACTCGCTAGGCAACTTGGCGACTCTGCCCCCCACTGTCTCAGTGACTTGCCTCCCTCCTAGGCTCCAGCCCCAGCCAGCAGCCCATGGAGGACAAGAAGAAGAAAAGGAGTCCCAAGCCCTGCCTGACACAGCCAGCCCAGGCCTCAGGCACACTACGCAGGGTCCCTGTGCCCACCAGCCACAGTGGCTCCCCCGCCCCCGGGGCCCCCCCCCCCACGCGCGGGGTCCTGGCGCCCCCCAGCCACAGTGGCTCCTTGGCCCTGGGGCTCCCTCATCTGCCGTCCCCGAAGCAGCGGGCCAAGTTCAAGAGGTGAGTACAGAAGGGAAGCAGGGCGAGGAAACAGGGCCCGAGGGGACAGTAGTCAGTGCTTCCCTGGTGCTGGGAACCCGGGTGTGGCAGAGAGGCTGGGGAGGGGTGAGGCCACCCCAGGAAAGGGTACCTGCACAAGTGAGCAAGAAGGACATGCCTGCAAGGTCTGGGAGCCACAGGTGGCCTTCTGGCCCTGCAGTGTTAGGGGGCAGGAAATGGGGAGGGGATTTCGGGTGTGGATACTAGACTCTGCTGGATTTGTTGTATACTGAGGGTTTGCATCCTACTCTGTAATGCACCCATGTTGTTCCCGCTGAGTACAGTGTGTTCTCTGCAGTTGTCCTTGGCTGTCCCTGGGGCTTTGCACACCACCTTCCTGAGCTCAACACACAGCCAAGTGTAGAGGAAGCTCAGGGCGGACTGGTAGGAAATGAACTGGGGGGACGTGTAAGGATTTCAGTGTTACCCTGAGGACAACAGAAATGCAAAGCTGGTGTGTGTGTGTGTGTTTAATAATTATTTATTTGATTTTATTCATTCATTTATTTTAATTTGACCAGTGAGAGATACACAGAGAGAGAGAAAGTGAGAAAGCAAGCCACCAGGTCTGGTATTCGAACCACAGTCATCCATGTGGGAGTGTGCAGCGCCTTAACCACCATGCCACCTGCTGGTCCCTGCAGAGCTGTTTTTCATTAGAAGAGAGACAGATTTGGGGGAGAGGGTAAGACTTACCTTATTTAGGACCAGCAGCTGGCATAATGGCTATGTCGCTGGACTCCCACGTAGTCGACCGGAGTTCGAGTCCCGAACCTGGTGGGTTAAACTCACACTGGCTGCGTGTGTGTGCGTGCCCAAGATCCCAAGAGGAGAATGGAGGAGAAGGGATTGTGGTGTGGCCATCTCCCCCCCCAGGGAGGGGGTGATTTCTCTGTCTTTCTGGCAAGCGCACGCACCCTATAACAAAAATTCTCCCAAAGAAAAGGAATTATTTTATTTAACTTTACTTATTTATTTTAAATTTGATCAGAGAGGGGCAGAGAGTGAGAGTGAAAGAACGAGAGAGAGAGAGAAAGCTGCCAGGTCCGGGACTCGAACCATGGTCAGCCATGTGGGCGTCCAGTGTCCTTAACCACCACACCACCTGCTGGCCCCAGGAGAGAGGTTAAGATCACTCTGGTGGTAATTAAAAAGTAACTGAAAACCAGGGCAGACCAGTGACTCACCCAGGGTCACAGGAGGAATGAGTGACAGGCACCCAGGCATGGCTCTGAGTCCCTAGCAGAAGAAGACCTCTTTCTTGCTGCCACCCTTCCTCACTCACCCTTTCTCTCTCCAATCCTGGTGCTCAGGGCAGGCCGTCCAGGATAGACACCACTTCTGCTGATGAGTGGGTGGGCAGACAGGCAGCACACCGGGCCTGGGGTACTCAGCTGCCCCCGCCCTGTGACCATGGCTGTGCCCCTCCCCCCAGAGCCGGCAAGGAGAAATGCCGGCCCTCGCTGGCTGGAGGAGGGGGCGGCTCTGCAGGCACCCCGCTACAGCACTCTTCCCTGACTGAGGTGACCGATGTCTATGAGATGGAGGGGGGGCTGTTGAACCTGCTCAACGATTTCCATTCAGGCCGACTGCAGGCCTTCGGTGAGTCCTGGGGGCGGGGGGCCGGGGCGTGATGGGGCTGGGGGACCTGGCCTCTGGGACAGGGCTCAGACTGGGGCTGTCCAGGGAAGGAGTGCTCCTTCGAGCAGCTGGAGCGCGTGCGGGAGATGCAGGAGAAGCTTGCCCGCCTGCACTTTAGCCTGGACGTGTGTGGGGAGGAGGAGGACGATGAGGACGACGATGGGGTCACCGAGAGGCTGCCGGAGGAGCAGAAGAAGACCATGGCCGACCGCAACCTGGACCAGCTGCTTAGCAATGTGAGTCCCGCGGGGCTTCAGGGCCGGGGCACCAGCGTGGGGGATGTGTGTGCACCCAAGGCCGTCCTGGTCCCTGGGTGAAAAGGTGGGGTGCATGAATTCAAGAGCCCTGGGTCAGTCAGAAGGTGCCCTGCGCACCAGGGGTCTGGCCTGGTACCTCTCTGACAAACCTCCCTCTCTCCGACAGCTGGAGGACCTCAGTAACTCCATGTATCCTTCCGGGAGACCGGCCGGTTCCCCCTCCCCACCCCTCATTAGCAGTCAGACCCAGCCCCACACTGCCCTCACCGGTAGAGGAACGCTGAGAGTTCCCCACATTGCAGGGAAAGGTGTTTGGGGAGCATGCTCATCCCGAGTGAGGGTGAAAGCTCCGCCAGACCTTAGCGGACAGCAGCCCGCAGGGCCGACCCCTTCCCGCGCTGGGCAGTCAGTGCTGCTGGCTGCCTCCCTCTGGTCCTTGGTCTGAGACAGGGCGCACGCGCACGAACGCACACACCCAGGCAGGCCCAGGCTCCCCAGGAACCTCAGATCCGGATGAAGACAGGAGTGAGGGACCTGCAAGAAGGGACCGCAGACTCCCTTCCCCGGCCGGGGCGCCCAGTGCGGGAGAGCAGGCGGGGGCGGAAGGGCTCGGTCGGAAGGGCTCGGTCGGGACCTCACGACCCTTGACGGGCACAGACAGAAGTTGCACCTGGCGGAGAACGCCGACCCGGAGGAGCAGCCCGCCGTCTAGGTGCTGGACCACGCCGAGACTGCCGCTCTCGTTTCCTACAAACTGGCTTTTTATGGACTCGGAGTGTGTTCCGCAGCCCCCCAGGTGCTATGGGGGTGGGGGGCACTGGCTGGAATTAAACGGCAAAGAATTTGGGGGCACTGGCTGGAATTAAACGGCAAAGAAAGCAACGGCTCTGTGTCCTCTCCTTGCGCCTTTCCTCGGCGGGTCCGCACTGCGCAGGCGCGGGGTTCAGGCCGTTCAGGTGCTCGGTACTGCTCGCTAGCGGCTGGGGGGGCGCAGCGGCAGGGGCAGCCCCGCCTGCATGCGGGTT